CCCACCCCCCATTTTTCCGCAGCACTTACCAGCTTTTAACACACTTTAACGCGCTATGTAATTTGCTTTTCTATTAGGTTTATTTTTTACTATCTCCTGCTAGACTCTAAAATCTAAAAGGGAAGAAATAATTGTCTCATTTAGTGAAGAAGCACAATTAACTAGAATAGCGCCTGAGAAATGCAGGCACTTACTGAACATGTGCTAAATGAATGAGTGATTACAATTCGTAGGTGGCTACCGGCTCCGGGTTGGTGCTGCGGGTGGAATTGCGCCCCTCCAAAAGGGTACGTTGCCATCTAAGCCTTCGGCCTCTCACAGTGTGATGTTATTTGGAATTATGGTTTTTACAGAGGTCATCAAGTTAAAACAGGGTCATTAGGGTGGGTTGTAATCCACCAGTAATCCAGTAGGACACAAGTCCTTATGGAAGGGTGACATTTGGGCACAGAGACAGACACTCAGGCAGAGCACCATGAGGCAATGAAGGCAGGTTTGAGGATAACACATGTACAAGCCAAGAAAGGCCAAAGTTTGCTGGCAAATCACCAGAAGCTAGCACGGGACAGAGTCTCCCTCAAAGATTTCCCTCTGGCTTCCCACCTGACTTCAGACTTCTAGCCTCCAGACTGTGAGCCAGTAAATTTCTGTTACTAAGAAATTTAAAGTTTGGGGCACCTGAGTGGCTCAGTGGGTTAAAGCCTCTGCCTTCGGCTCAGGTCATGATCCCAGGGTCCTGGGATGGAGCCCTGCATCGGGCTCTCTGCTCGGCAGGGAGCCTGCTTCCTCCTCTCTCTCTCTGCCTACCTCTCTGCCTAATTGTGATCTCTGTCTGTCAAATAAATAAATAAAAATCTTTAAAAGAAAACCACCCTTTAAAAAAAAAAGAAATTTCAAGTTTAGAGCGCTTTGTCACGTCAGCTCTATGAAACTAATATAGTTAGCCTCTAGGTAGGTTGGTAGGTGTGAGATCTGGAAACTTAATTAGATCCGGAGGAGCCTATAAACTATAAAGCAGCATATAAACAAGCTGTGATAATTAAATGAGACCATGTCCTTAAAGGTTAACTGTGCTTGTCCAAGGACTCGAGGGGACAGTTGCTGAATTCTGCCTTACTTCTCTCTTTTCTCCATCCTACCCATATCCCTCACCGTGGCCACCACACAAAAACATCTGCTCTAAGTCACAGGGGAATTCCTAGATTATATTTCCTGTGAAGGTTTAGCTGGGCAGCATTCAGCAATTCTTGACAATCTTTCTCCAAGCTTGAGCTAACTGGATCTTGTGTCTAATCACCTCATCTGCTCTCTGAAAGATTGGGGACCTCTCTGATACAGGGTTTTCTGTTTGAAGGGATTCTGAAACGGATGAACTAGATCACTCATCCTTGCGGTACCTTCCCCCCACCAAAAGAACAGAGAAGACTGGTGGCTGGTGTCCTTCAGCAGGCCCTGTGATCTTTCTGGCCCAGCAGGGTCAGTAATGGCATTAGAAGGGGGAGGTTTCTGACTTTTGGTCAGGTTAATGGTTCTAGTGTAACTCGGGGTCTTCCTTTGGCATTCTGTGCTTGGAGAATGAGGGTCCTTCTACTTACTGCTTAGGATTTTGTAAGGTGATTTAAACTGCCACCTGGGCCATTTGTCTTCAGGATTCCTAATAGCTTAAAAGGTCATAGGCAGGGGCGCCTGGGTGGCTCAGTGGGTTAAAGCCTCTGCCTTCGCCTCAGATCATGATCCCAGGGTCCTGGGATCGAGCCCCACATCAGGCTCTCTACTCAGCAGGGAGCCTGCTTCCCCCTCTCTCTCTGCCTGCCTCTCTGCCTACTTGTGATCTCTGTCTGTCAAATAAATAAATAAAATCTTAAAAAAAAAAAAAAGTCATAGGCATAAGGAGGGAAGAATGTCCCAGTATACAGGCAGAAAACAGACAGGGAGTTAGACACTAGCCTAAACAAAAACTTGATCTTGAGAATGGTCAGCCACCAGAAGCAGTGGACAGGGTAAGGTTCCAGACCTGCATGAAAAAGGCAGCAAGAAGGGAGCCAATTCTTGGTTGGTAGAGTAGGATACACGAAGGAAAAGACTCGGTGTCAAGAAAAAAAAGCCAAGATCCTGGGGATAGAATTGTGAGTCAAGGTCAGAGAGATTCTAGCAATGACGGTGACTTAAGGGTAAACTCACCAACTCTCCTGTTATGTTTGGTTCTGAACAGGATTTGTAGCTGAACCGATCATTTAATCGGCCCATGTTAAGTGTCTGTGATATGTTAAGACTTGTACTAGGCACCATGGGGATCAGAGATGACAGGCATCGTTCTCAAGGAGTTAAGAATTTGGTAGGGTAGGGGCACCTGGGTGGCTCAGTGAGTTAAGCCTCTGCCTTCGGCTCAGATCATGGTCTCAGGGTCCTGGGATCAAGCCCCGCATTGGGCTCTCTGCTCAGCAGGGAGCCTGCTTCCTCCTCTCTCTCTCTCTGCGTGTCTGCCTACTTGTGATCTCTGTCATATAAATAAATAAAATCTTAAAAAAGAAAAAAGAAAGAATTTGGTAGGGCAGAAATCAAAGATAAACCAATGACAATTTAGTGTATCGAGTACAATAAGAATACAGTGTCATACGAAATCATAGTAACTAAGAGTCCAAGCTCTGGGTCCAGTAGATTTGAGTTCATATCCTGACTCTCCAGTTAAAGGTTGTGTGATCCTGCGCAAGTCACAAAGTTTCCTCAGACTTCAGTATCCTTTCTTGTAAGTGGGAATAATAGTACTACTTACCTTCTTTATAAGATTCTCATGAGGATCAAATCAGACCATAGGTGCCTGGCACCTAGATAATTCCCAATAACATTGACTTTTTAAAAGATAATAATAGTGATTATTAGTATAATTATCCGGGCAAAGGTAATGTCAGAAAATGTTTCCAGAAAAAGGTGGTATTTAAGCTGAATATTGAAAAACAAAGAGAAGGTGGCTGGGCCTGGGTTTGGGAGGAGGCTAATGAATTGCTTTTATTTTTTAATTATGCCCTGCCAGGTTTCTCAAACACTTTGAGGTAGGATGATGAATTCAGTGTTAGTAGAATTGAATGTGAGATGTCTCTGAGCAACACTACATGTTTTGACCTTTTCATTTTACCACTACTATAATCTCATTTTTTTTAAGATTTTATTTATTTATTTGAGAGGGAGAGAGAGAAAGAAAGCAAGAGAGAGCGTGGGAGCAGGGAGTTCCACACACTCGGGTTCAATCCCAGGACCCTGGGATCATGACCTGAGCTGAAGTCAGAAGCTTAACTGACTATACCACCTAGGCTTCCTTATAATCCTGTATCTTGTATGTTTGCCCCATTAATTATTACAGCTCCATGAAATGAATACAACTATTAATCTTCTTTCTTCTTGGTTTTGAATACTAACAAACAAAAACAATACGAAATAAAATTGATGTAATTAAAATTGTACCCAGCGGGAGGGGGGCAGGCAGGGAGAGGATGGTGGGGTTATGGACATTGGGGACATTGCTATGAAGTGTGTAAACCTGGCGATTCACAGACCTGTACCCCTGGGGCTAATAATACATTATATGTTAATAAAAAAATAAAAAAATTTTTAAAAAATAAAAAAATAAAAATGTACCCAGTAAACATTTTTTTTTTAAATTGTAAAAATGACTTTTACCTCTTCTTAACCCAGAAAAACTGGTCCTGATAGGAAGGAGAAAAAAGGTCACAAAAGAAAACTTAACTTTGGGTGAAATTATAATAGATAAATTTTGGTAGGGGCAAAAAGAAACAAAATAAAGCTGATTAATAAATCACACTTTTGTTGTAAATGTGGAACATAATTAATCCAAATCAATTCAAAACAAGGGAATCTCAATGAGATAAATATTGAAATAAAATTTAGTGGCACTCTATAGGAAATTGATACAGAAATTAAATGGCCAGAGTCGATTTTACTCCAAAGGATACCTTTCAGTTTAAAAGTCTTCCACACTGATAGAATTCTTACAAACGTGTTTGCCTTCATATACATAGACTCAAAACATCCGTGGTGCAAAACAGTGTGTCAGAACCTCCAGTGCTTGCCTGTAACATCTGGAGGTGTGGTTTGAAGAAATATTTGGGACTCTTGTCTGGCTTAGAAAGTCAGGGTATGGGGCGCCTGGGTGGCTCAGTGGGTTAAAGCCTCTGCCTTCAGCTCAGGTCATGATCCCAGCATCCTGGGATCGAAACCCCGAATTGGGCTTTCTGCTCAGCAGGGAGACTGCTTCCTCCTCTCTCCCTCTCTCTCTGCCTGCCTCTCTGCCTACTTGTGATCTCTGTCCGTCAAATAAATAAATAAAATCTTAAAAAAAAAAAAAAGAAAAAGAAAGTCAGGGTATAACGAAGGGCTTTGAAGTCATCACCACATAAGTATTCATGTTTTCTTTTGTATCTTCCATAAAATAATAATGCAGAGTCAGAACCTAATCAATGCCTATTGAATGTTAGATTCTTTTTTTTTTTTAAGATTTTATTTATTTGGCAGACAGAGATCACAAGTAGGCAGAGAGGCAGGCGGAGAGAGAGGGGGAAGCAGGCTCCCCGCTGAGCAGAGAGCCTGATGAGGGGCTCGATTCAGGACCCTGAGATCATGACCTGAGCCAAAGGTAGAGGCTTTAACCCACTGAGCCACCCAGGTGGTCCTGAATGTTAGATTCTCTCTAGTCAGGTCTACAAGCCTTATGGATAGAGGAATTGCACCTGTAGAGTCAATCATTTTAATTTAGCACTTACTGAATACTTTGCAAAAATGAGCTCTCACAGCTTTGAGAGTAACCAGAGCAAAACTGAAGTACCCCCAAGATTTGGATATCTAGAATATAATCACAGACCTTACCAAAAATTATACTATTTCCATTCAGTTCATCAAATGAAATATTTTTATCCTAATGTTCGTTGTTCACCAAGCATTTCCTCTTTTAAGAATTGTTCTCTTTCTTTTTAAATTTGCTTCTATAGATATCCTCATCCTCCACTTGACAAGGTCATGGAAGATCTAGAGGAAACATTATTTGAAGAATTCGAGAACTACTCCTATAACCTGGAATATTACTCCTCAGAGTCCGATTTGGAGGAGAAAACCCACCTGGGAGTTGCTCATTGGGTCTCACTGGTATTATACTGTTTAGCATTTATTCTGGGCATTCCAGGAAATGCCACTGTCATTTGGTTCACAGGGTTCAAGTGGAAGAAGACAGTCACCACTCTCTGGTTCCTCAACCTGGCTATTGCAGATTTCATTTTTCTTCTCTTCCTACCTCTGTACATCTCCTATGTGGTCATGAATTTCCACTGGCCCTTCGGCATCTGGTTGTGCAAGGCCAATTCCTTCATTGCCCAGCTGAACATGTTCGCTAGTGTTTTTTTTCTGACGGTGATCAGCGTGGACCGCTACATCCACTTGATCCATCCCGTCGTATCTCATCGGCACCGAACCCTAAGGAACTCCCTGATTGTTGTTGTTTCCATTTGGTTTTTGGCTTCTCTAATGGGTGGTCCTGCCCTCTACTTCCGGGACACTCTGGAGTTCAATAACCACACTCTTTGCTATAACAATTTCCATGAGCATGATCCTGACCTTACTTTGATGAGGCACCATGTTCTGACCTGGGTGAAATTTATTGTCGGGTACCTCTTCCCCTTGCTAGCAATGAGCATTTGCTACTTGTGTCTCATCTTCAAGGTGAAGAAGCGAAGCATCCTGGTCTCCAGTAAGCATTTCTGGACCATCCTAGCTGTGGTCCTGGCCTTTTTGATTTGCTGGACTCCTTATCACCTGTTTAACATTTGGGAGCTCACAATCCACCACAGTAGCTATTTCCACCAGGTGCTTCAGGCCGGCATCCCCCTCTCCACTGGCTTGGCATTCCTCAACAGCTGCTTGAACCCTATCCTTTACGTCCTCATTAGTAAGAAGTTCCAAACTCGCTTTCGGGCCTCAGTTGCTGAGATCCTAAAGCACACGCTGTGGGAGGTCAGCTGTTCGGGCACAGTGAGCGAACAGCTCAGGAACTCTGAGACCAAGAACTTGTGTCTGCTGGAAACAGCTCAGTGAGTTTTCCGTAGAAGGCTTTTGCAGGGGGTAAGGGGCCCGACACACGCTTTCAGATTATTTGGTTCCCAGGTATGGTAATAACCATCTCTTTTTGTTAAGCGGTTTGGTGGTTTTACATTTTTGTGTGGGTCTGAAACGTAGGAAAGATCTTCATTTTTTTCCCCTGCAAATTAAATTATCTGTCATTCTTGCTAATTATACTGCAGTGGATTAGTCACCACTGTTGATGCAATATCAGCTATTATTTTTTTAATCTTCATGACTCTGAAGTCCTAGATCTTAATGTTAAATAGATGATTAATTCATTTCAGAAATGTTAACATATGTGCTTAAGCTCACTTCTATTTTGCACCAGTAACCTATTAGACATATTTTTGAAGTGCGACATGTACTTAATTTCTTTATTTCATGAAATCTATGTACATACATTTATAAATTAAAGTAATAGTTGATTACAGTAGTTTAAAACATCGTGAACTCTTCACGCTTAGTGAAGTGTCCCAAAATCTAGTCGCTTAAACTGACAATTTATTGTCCTAACATCTCACAGTTCTGAGTCAGAAACTCAAGGCACAGAAGGGAGGTTCATCTCTGTCAGCCTCACCGGTATGCAGCATGGGCTCGATTGGGATGTCCCAAATGGCCGAGTTTTGGAACAGCTGGTCTCCTCTGCCCTACTGCCCCTTCTTTTCTTTTTCTTCACACAGCTCTTCCAGTATGGTAGCTCAGGGTAGCCAGACTTCTTACATGGCAGGTTAGGGCTCTAAGATACCAAAGTGGGCATTTCTAGCCCTCTTAAAGCCTACGCCTACCCCTGACACGGTATCACATCACTGTACTCTTTGGTCAAAGTAGTCCTGGTCCAGCCCAGGGTCAAGGGGAGGCCACATAGACCCCACCTGCCAATGGGGATATGCTCCTATCCCTAATCCCTCATGAAATCATTATAAATATCAAGATTCTTGGAAAATTCTGGGTATGTGCAAGTATGTATAAGATGGCTATAAACATAAAACTCTGGCATCTAGATGGTGGATAGGCCAGCTCAATCTCAGAATGTTTTCAGAAAAAGAAAGCACATGTGACATTGATATATTTCTACCTTCTATTCCTCTAACTGTGTACATGTAGACACCAGTACAAGAACAATAAAGTATGCCTTTAAGTCAGTAACCTCTTCAATTTTAAAAAGCATTTAATTTTCTGTAATTTAATCTTATTTTGAAAGTTGGGGGGGGAGCCATGTTATTTATTCAATCAGTATCCGTTTTCAATTTCATCTCTCAGCTTCTGGAAATGCCAATCTTCGATAGCTTACTGGCTATGTTCTTTACTAGTAGTCCATAGCAACAGTCAGATCTGGTTTTGGAAATTATTCCTCAAAAATGCGTGGCATTGCTCAGTATATCCCAAACTTTGGTCATCCCTGAATTTCATGGCTTCTGCCACACCCAGTATGGAGGGAAGGCAAGGAGAGAAGGGCTCATTGCGTGTGTCTGTCCTTCCATGACCAGGGTTTAAGAAATTCCACTCTGGGTTCCCCGTCACCCTCAAGGGATAGGCCCTGATTTCCCAGGATCGGGAGAAAAGCTGGAGGATGGAAGACAAAGAGAATATCTTAGGCTCATCCTTAGTTTGAGCAGATGGACAGATTCTCAGGGCTTTGGGGAAAGAGGAAGGCTGAGGAAGCAAGAAGGGGGTTAAGCAATCAAGGGCAGAAGGAAATGATGGAGCAGGTGGTGTTACCACCTAGGAAGCAAGAGATTACCAAAGGCCTATGAAAATATTTGAGATCTTAAAAAAATATTGTTGGGTCTAGAATACAAAAAGGGAAACTTGAAAAGTCAAAATTAATAAATACTTAATCACATGTCTATAAAATAGGTCTTTATGTCAATGAGTCAAATGAAATATTTCATAGTTATATAAAAGCTTATACTTAATATGGACATTCAATGTGTTTCAGTGTTTGATATGAGGAGTGAGGCTTCCAAAAAATTTTTTTTAATTTAATTTTATTTTTTCAGTGTTCCAAGACAAAAAAAAAAAAAGTTTTAAGGAAGGTCTACAAAGGTCTTTAAAAAAAAAAAATCTTCTTTCTTTTTTTTTTTAAAAGATTTTATTTATTTATTTGACAGATAGAGATCACAGGTAGGCATCGAGGCAGGCAGAGAGAGAGAGGAGGAAGCAGGTTCCCTGCTGAGCAGAGAGCCCGATGTGGGGCTCGATCCCAGGACCCTGGGATCATGACCTGAGCCAAAGGCAGAGGCTTTAACCCACTGAGTCACCCAGGCACCCCTTATTTAATTCTTTGACAGAGAGAGAGAGAGCACAAGCAGGGGGAGAGGCAGGCAGAGGGAAAAGCAACTCCTTGCTGAGCAGAGAGCCCAACTTGGGGCTCAATCCCAGACCCCTGCTATGACCTGAGCCGAATTCAGACGCTTAACCGACTGAGCCACCCAAGGTCTACAAATCTTAAAGAAACTCTGGATTCATTTGAGAATCTAAGGAAGGTTATGAGTCCTTTCCTTAGAAACTTTTTTTTTTTAATCAGTCTCTGCCCAAACGTGAAGCTTAAACTCACTACCTCAAGATCAAGACTCAAATCACATGTGACTGCCAGGCACCCCTCCTTAGAAACGTGCTTTTAAATAAAATATCAGAGAGATCTTAGACCCTGGGCTAAAGACTAGTTTTAGTGGCTTTTAAAATAGCGGATAGTAGGGGTCGCCTGGATGGCTCAGTCCGCCTCTGGCTCAAGTTATGATCCCAGAGTCCTGCTCAGTGGGAGGCCCACTTGTCCCTCTCCCACTCCCCCTGCTTGTGTTCCCTCTCTTGCTGTCTCTCTCTCAGATAAAAAAAGATCTTAAAAAAAAAAATAGCAGATAGTGGGGATGTCACAGAAATCTGCTAGTGGAAAGTAGCCGCCAGTACAAGTACTCCCCAGCACGGATGGGAGTTAATGTTTTATTCTCAGTTTGAGGGAAGATCCCAAGAGTAGCATTGGGTCCAGGACTGGGGACCCCAAGCCTCCTCCCCCGACAGTTGGAATTTGGTTAGTGGGGCTCTCCAGGGGTCTCCTGAAGAAGAGCGGGATGAATGACTAAATAACAGGACCAAGAGGACCAAGACTGGAAGAGCAGACAGCGCTGGAGCAATTAGGGAAGGAGTGAGGGAGCTCAGTGCCCAGTGGGCAGAAAAGTGAAGAATCCCAGGCTTTCAGGGACTGGGGCACAGACATGAGGAGACAAACCTGCCTCTTGAATGGAAAACAGCTCTTTGAAGGGGGCAAGTCCCAAGACCTCCAGAGGCAGGAGATCTGGATTTGAACTAAGGCTCCCACACATCCTGGGTCTGTGTCCTTGGCTAAATTAATTCAGATTTCTAGACCTCATCTGCAAAATGGGGATAACAATAGTGGTACATGCTACACAGGGCTGTTGTGGAAATTAAAGGGGATGCAGCAAAAGCACTTCGAGGGGTACTTGGCTCTAGAAACAACTTGACCAATCCTGGCTGGTATTAATCAGTGAAATTCTTGGCATCTTCCAACCTACTAATTGCTTATTAATTGTCAACTCCTTTCCTCCTGTATCAACATAGGAAGAATAAGGGAGCTACACAGAAAAGCTTAAAACTATCTTGTTTATAGTTTTTTTATACATACTTATAGTTTATAAGTATGTATAAAAGACTATGTGCCTAGAGGCTGTGAAGCAGAATGAAAGTTTTCTCGGAAGACGTATTTGAAGTGCATCTTGAAGAATGGCCCCCATTTTCACAAGTGCAGGTGAGAAAAGAGGCTTTTCAGGTAGGTGACCCAGGAAGGGCAAACGTACAAAAGGAAAACAGGACATGATCAGAAAAAATTGTTTAGAAAAATAGTCCCAGGGGTGCCTGAGTGGCTCAGTGGGTAAAAGCCTCTGCCTTCGGCTCAGGGCATGATCTCAGGGTCCTGAGATCGAGCCCCGCATCAGGCTCTCTGCTTAGCAGGGAGCCTGCTTCCTCTTCTTTGGCCTGCCTTTCTGCCTTGTGATCTCTGTCAAATAAATACATAAATAAATAAATAAATAAATAAATCTTAAAAAAGAAAAATAGTCCCATTTCCTTGGGATAGAATGAGGGTAGAAGATTCACAAGTTGGAGCCCAGCTTGAATAGTACTCCATGGTTCCTCAATATTCTTACATACGGGCATTCATTTCTTGAATGCATCTGCTACCATCCATACAGTGTGTGTAATGAGAAAATGTTTTTATCAGTCTTAATTCCATTTTAAATTTACCCGTATGTGACTTTATCTTCTCACGTTCCCTAATTGAGGGTATGAAGCAAGGGTTACACGGATAAAATAGGATTAAATTGTCTAAAAGTGGGGATGAAGAACTTCTTTCATTCTATTGACAACAACATTACCTGGCCAAGGGCCTGGGTTTCATTTCTCTCTCTCTAGGTGAATAATTGGGCAAATCATCTTTCAGAGTTCAGTTTCCTTATCCAAATGGGGATAACAGTGTCATCTTTGCTTATCTCATAGCTTATGATGGTTTCCAAAAGTGAGGGATGCCTGGGTGGCTCAGTCGGGTAATCGGCTGCCTTCAGCTCAGTCATGATCCCAGAGTCCTGGGATCAAGTCCCACATCTGGCTCCCAAGGAGTCTGCCTCTCCCTCTGCCTTTGCCTGCCTGTGCTCACTCTCTGACAAACAAATAAATTTTAAAAATCTTTTAAAAAAAATGGACAATGTGTATGAGGCATGTATTTTTGTATTTTTTTACTTTTTTATTCTAAGGACGATAGCTGCCAAATTGGATTTGTTCGGGGGGCGGGGTGGGGGGGGCAACACAGAGATCCCAAAACATGAATGCAACTCCTTTTGTATTTGTCTTTGCCCATAAGCTTATTTTTTCATAATAGGGAAAAACTCCAGCACTTTCTAACGTTGTTCTAGTCTGTCACTTTTTAATTATATTGTTTATAAAGGATTTCATTGAGTACATGTGCCATAATTTAGCCATTTCCATTCATGTTCGGACTGTAACAATCCTTTTAGTCCCATACTTCCATCCAAAACACCTCCAGGTCAGAGCTGTCAGCCTGTGTCATTTTCTGGCTCAGAAGCCTAAAAGGCTCCCCACCCCGCAGCGCGGGCGCGCACGCGCGCGCACACACACACACACACACACACACACACACACTGCCCTTGAAGGAGCCAGCCTGGATGTGCAACCTGGCCCCACCCCATCTAATCCCAAACAGACACTGCAAAATCCAGCCCAACTGATCTGGTCGCCTGGTAAATATCGCTTCGTCTATTCTTATTCCTGCCTTTTATCCCCTCTTGGAATACTTTTTTCCTTTTTTTTCTTTCCTTTCCTTTCTTTCTTTTTTTCTTTTTTTTCTTTTAACAAATTACCGGTCAAGTTCCACCCAGCTCAAGTCCCAACTTCTCCAAAAAATTT